TGGAAGGTTCGAGTTAAAGTTGGAAATTAACGTAAATTTGATGAATTTCAGTGATGTAAAGTTTGGGTTTTTTTCGAGTGTATTTTGGATTTCATGAATAACATAATCCATTCTTACCAAGGTATTCTTACCAAGGTCTCTTTTCTATGGAATATATGGATGATATGTTGAATAGTCCAAACTCTAAGACAATCATCAGATGTAAATATTCATCATTGTGGAATACTAGCTTTAGATTACATTGTCTCAATTAAAGGTCTTTTATTCGATATACAAGAAGGTTATGCATTGGTGATAGATCAATGGACTATTAATTCACGATAATGATTTATGTTGTGGTTTAGAAAGTGTTCTATAAGTAGAATGATAAATTATGTATTATGTTGGAGATTGTTAAAGAGATGAAATTAAACATGATATATAGTTGGCTATATTGGAATTGACATTTAGGAATTGTGGCGTTATCACATGATGGGGAGATTGATACTTACTAACCACATGAGGTTAAGGTATAATTGTATTCAAAGGAGCTGAACATGAAACTGTGTTTTTGTTATCGTTAGGTGATAAAGTGAAAAGCTAAGAATGTCATATTTTGCTCTTTGAGATGTTATTTAAAATTTGAGTCCAATTGTTTAATGATGGAATTTACAATTGGTGTATTCGGTATTTAAAAATGTATTGTCTATTTCTAAGACTTAGTAAGTAGATACCTTTATGCTTTAGGATTATTAGTGCAGTTAAAGAGTGCTCATTTTAGTGCAGTTGAAGAGATATTGACATAAGAAAAGTTAAGGAAAATCCAAGAGAAAGAAAGAATGAGTTCAGTGTAGTTAAATTAGTGCGCTAGTTAAAGTTTGAGAAAGCATTCAATAAAAGAAACAACATGGGCATACGAGGGTCAAATATGATACGTGTGCTATATCTTCATGTATTAGAATCTTAGTTGATTGAATTTCGAGGACGAAATTCTTTAAAAGAGGTAAGATTGTTATAACCCATTCATTCAAAGTCAAAGGCAAGATTTTTTTTATTCAAATTTAAAGGTTCGAATAGTCAAAGTCAAATGGGGACTTAAATGAAATATATCACTTTATTTTGGCTTATTTTATAATGAAAAATCTTTTGAGGTTTAAGATGGGTAAAAATTAAAGTTGGGGATTTAATTTTCTATTTGGGGAAGTTGAGGATTTAATGCTATAGCCTATTAATGTTGGGAGGACTTGATTGGAAAGGTTGGTATTAATGGAGTACTAATGTCATGTAATAAACCCATTTCTTCCATTTGTTATATAGATACTAGCAGGGAACGAAAGGGGCAGAAAACAGAGGAAAAAAATGATGGGAAAAAAGAAAAGAGAAGAAGGGGGGGGGGGGGGGGGGGGGGAGTACATGTAGGAGGTGAGATACACTTCTTCAAGTAATGTGTTGTCTTTCATAGCCTCATTTCTTCTAAGACCTCAAGTGGGTAAGTTTTACACAAACATAAATTTCTTATTTTGGTTCAATTAGTGGAAATAAGTCCAATTTCTTGATGGTTTGGTGTGGACAACTATTTTTGGAAGCTTTTGAGTTATATGAATCAAATTTATACTAACTTTTGGGTTTGAGTTTTGTGGGTGAAAACATTCAGCAAGTAATTGGGTACAAGATTAAAAGCTAAATACATAAACCAATTCAAGTGAGGAATGGTGCAAACTGATTATGGTTTTGGCATGTGCACTGTGGTTGAAATTATTGAAGTGGGACTTACCTAATTTCATAGTTTTATATAAGTGTGGGATGTAGTAAAATGATGAAATGAAAGAGAATAAATAAGTTGGTACAGCTATGTGCGAATTAATAATATTAATTGAAATTGTGAAATTTAGAGTAAAGAAGAATTACAAGTACATAATTTGAGAGTTTTTGACCTTCAGCATGTCGTAAACAAATTAATTCGGGGAACCAAAAAAAAAAAATGGATTTGAGGATTTCATTCCATTGGTAACTTTAGACTGAAATTGGCAATTTCTAGTAATGATTAAGAAAATTTCATCATTATTTCATGAAGTGAACGTTGGACAACCTACCAGCTATATTAATCATCATCAGAATATAGTCCTGTGAGTGTAAAAAGTTATAGATTTTCAAATAGTAATAAGGTACTTATACTATTACATTACGTGTGATTATACAAATTATTTGTTTAATTACATAATTAATTTGGAAAGAATCTTTCACTATGATATATGTGGAATTTAAAGTTTGGATATGGATTATTTGTGAGTTGGAATGTGAGACATGTAACATTGAGATCGAACAGAAAAGTACCCGTGATTATAATTTCTTCCAGCTCACAGAAGGGCCTTAATCGTGTTCTATACTACACTTAGGGGTCTACTGAGGATGAAGGAGTTGTGACCGTGTACATATAACTCATTGAGGAGCCTTGGTCGTATTCTAAAATTGATTATCAGAGGTCTTTGATACCCACTTTCATTCACGGAAGGAGCCAAAGGCTCGTGGCAAAAGTACTTGGCTCGAGGGACGGATTACAAATTTTAATCAGAGGGTACATTTTTTGGTGGATCACATGTGATGTGATGAGATGATGATATAAATATCAGCTGATGACTATATTGTAATTATGTGATAATAGTTGCAGTGTTATGAGAATGTCTCACTTTTTGGCCATAATTGTATGAGTCTATCACGTGAACATTAAACGATATGAACTTGATGTTTGGTAAAAATGTTTAAAGGAGAAAATATAATTATTTTTGAACTCTTCCACTTACTAAGCTATCAACTCATATTTTTCTAAAATTATTTTTACAGGTAATATTGATCATTGATAGCTTGAAGAGCCTCGTGATTTAAGAGTTAGAGCCACGTGACATATTGAGTGATATGATTCATTTTGGTAAAATATGAAGTAATTATTTCGGGCCCATTGCACTATGTTTTTGTAAACATTTGATTTTGTCGTATATTTTGTAGTAATTCATAATCAGTATTGGTGATAGATCCGGCATATAGTCGCAACTACCATTGACATATGTCACGTCTCGGGTCCATAGGGTGATACAGGACATGTCGTGTCAAAAATATCACTACAGGGGCCACCTAGTTGCTTAATAGATTAAAGTCAAAAAAATGATGAAAAAAGTAGAATAAGCAGGTGTATAAAATAGATAGCACACTAAATGCCAAGATTAAGCCTCAAACAATTGTTTTAGAGATTTGGACCTATCATGAAGGATTATTAGCTTAATTGAGTCTCAAAGGCCGAAGTGACCAGAAATATAGGAGAAGCCTTCTTCGTTGAAGTGTTAACTTGTACTAGCAAAAATATATCAGAACTAGAGAGGATGAGGATTAGAATCAACTAAAAGTGAACTTAAGTACATATTTCAAGAAAAGTGAGTGAAACGCATAAGTTATGGGATGTCTATCTTATGAGTGAAGAAAGAAAATATTTGGCTACCCTAGATCATGAATCAAATCCGTCATGAAATTGTGATGTTTACATAAATATTCACACTCACACACACGTATACACACTTTAAGTTTCGTATTGAATAAGTATAAATTAATTTCAATTGTGTAATTTGGATACTGCTCGTAATATTGATACAAATATCTAATCTCGAGATTAACAGCATACCATCTAACCAAGGTTAAACTGGGTTAGGCTATAGCTTGTTTGAGGGCAAGAAAGGTTCAAGCTTAGGAGTGTTTGATAAGTATATCTTATACATTTATTTAGGCCATTAAATTTGATTGTATTGTTGATTAATTGTATGAAATATGGCTTAATTCTATGTATATATTGTTTGTAGATAATAATCGATGAATGAGGTAGGATGAAGGAAAATAAGTGAGAAAAAGGGCTCAATCAAATCAAATACAAAAGTTCAGGGACTAAAATGCCATAATTCAAACGTTGGATCGGATTGCAAAATGATGATTTGAGAATTTCAAGAGTCAATTTGAATTAAGGGAAGTCAATGGGATGAAATTTTTTTAAGAAGGATCAAAATGCACACATGAGAAAGTTCAGGGATCAATTTATAAAATTGGTTCCAAAAATTTGAAAAATTCACGGTAGGTAAAATGCTGTTTATGGAACACACCAGCAATGAATATTAAGAATAATATTTATGGCTTGTGCGGTCGTATGTGATAATCCTAAACGTTAATGCATCATTATCAAATGAATTCAGACTAGGAATATGATTGTCTCGTGGTAAACATGTCATTTATTATATCTTGGAAAAGAATTGTAACTAAAAGTGGAATTTTCGATCGGCGCAATTGCATGAAATGAATTAATTATCACAGGTTGAGGATTGGAATTAAGATTTGATTAGTGGATTCGAAAATCCAATATGTTCATCCACATTTGATTTAAACCAATTTGTATTACTTTGTAGTTATAAAACATGTTAGACATAAATCAATCATTTTTTTTACAATCACAAACTTAAATATATCAAATACACTAGAATTGATCTTTATTCTCTGTAGGACAATAGCTCTCTTATCACGATTATTACCTTTACAACAAATCCGTATGCTTGCTGGATTTCTACAAATAGAATTTTTTGTTCTCTACTTTGTTCATTCTCAACCTCTCAACACACCGAGATATTTGATCAATTAGATTGATCTTGCCCATTGTGAATAAAAAAAACTATTAATGTCACGAAAAGATATACATAATTCGATCAACAGATTTAGATAAAATACACGGCAATCAAGTGGAATTTAATTCTCCGCACAATCAGCAATAAAATGAAACTCGATACATGATTCATCCAATACACTGCAAGTGTCACCTTTAACTATTTATGTGATAAGGACAAATTGCAATCTTGAATGCTGAATTGGTTAATACTATAACCTTTCAGTATAAGGTGTCTAAGGTGTCAACCCCTTATACATGGGCCATGAACAAATTATTTATGATCAATCCGCATGCTCAATAATAAACAAATGTAATAAATGAATTAAGTAAATTTATTTATTATAAATTATTATTCTATTATAGCAAAATATACTATATGGGCATACAACCCAACTCTTGGGTGGGACTCTTAGGTGTGAACTTACCTAAAGAGTGACACTACCACCGCAACCTATAGGTGTTCATTCCCATAATAATATACATACAGCATCCAGTCCAACCTCCACATTGATCAGACTCCTTCATCACCATTGCTTCTTTCTCCTCCAATCGATCTTCTTCTAATCTCATATCCTGTCCAATTTCATCAAGCCGATCATCATCATCATTTGACACCAAAAAATAATGTTCTCAAGTTTGTAAGTATCAGATTTTAAATTTTAACTTTCTGATTAGAATGCAACTGAAAATTACTAAATTCATGGTCAGATGCTCTAATGATGTGTTTTAATGTTGATTCCATGTATACAATTGTTATGTGGTTATATTGATAATAGATTTATTGGGCAGTTAATATTCTGATATAACAAAATCGAGAAGGATGTGAAATCAAGATGTTATAGTTCATTGATTTTTAATGCTTACCAAAAACGATTTTCAATTGGAAGGAAATTCCAGTATATTAAGTTTTCATTGAAACCAACCAAGTATCACAAACATATGACAAATATTATATACCGAAGAAGACCAAAAAATAAATTGAAAGGCAACATTTTAAAAATGGGTGCTTCAGTTGTTTGATTCTCTCCATTTTATTCACTTAAACGCTTATTTAACTGAGTTTCGATGATATTGCACCAAGTTTTTGTATTCACCATGAATATTTCCACCATATTAATATTTGCATCATACCCACTAATTAATTCCCACAGAAACCTTTATCTTAATCCTATGAGATGTAAAAAAAATTTAATTGTCGCTAAAAGTTTGATATATAGTAAGACAAGCATAATATATTCATTCTCTACAGCCAAAAGGCTAAAATCAACCATGAATATTAATATATAAATATTAACCCCGACATGCGGATAAAACATAAAAGGTAAACATCACTATGGTATCCATTAGTACAGGTAGAACGAAAAAAAAATCTATACCTTTATGGGTATTTATTTCGTAAATCACATGCCATGGTGATGAACTGTTAATAATAAAGAGATCCCCGCCACCAGTCCCCTCTCGAAGCCATCTCTGAGTCATCTTCTGCCTCATCTTTTTTGGAAGTGGTAAACCCAGAGCGATTGGTGCACTCAGGGAAATTATAGACGTCTTGACCACCATAGTATATCGATGAACTGAAATGAAATGGTTTTATTTTCTCCTCTGGCAAATACATATTGATGTCCTCGCTTTGTTTGCTCTGGCTTTGGTTTTTAGTGCTCGGATTTGTAGCGTTCTTATCTGGAGCTCGAGTCGTGGAACTCCAAGCCTGATTTGAAGTGCCAGATTTCTTCCCAGATTCAAATGAATTCATGGACTCCTGTCCCTGAACCTTATCAGGAGCTGCAAAAAGTGACCTGAAAATCCCACAAAATGAAGCAGATTTCATTGAACCAAAAAGGCCACAAGCAAATGAAGAACCTGATAGAGATTTCTTCCCTCCCTCCATTTTCTCTCTCCTTTTTACAAATCTTTGTGATTCTTGAATACAATGAATGAGTTGGGTCACGAATCGCCCAGTATATATACAACGCCCACCGTCAGGAAACCCTCTGCAGATGTAACCGCCGTATAAGTCCTCACAGAAACAAACAAAAACCTAGGAAGAAAAGGAGAAATTGAAAAGAAAAAGGTGGGAGAAGAAAACAAAGAAGTTGAGAAAAGGTTATATGTAAAACTCAGAACCACGTGTGCTGCACAGGATTTAGAAATAATTAAGATTGTAACATTTTTTGTGTTCTAAAATTTTTATATAATAATAATTCAAGCAGAAGTTGCTATAAAAACAATACATGTAGTGCTCGAAAGAACCCTGCAGCGATCATTTGTTGCTGTATCAAATGGTTACCAAAGCTGTAGATCATTACTACAGCAACTTCTTTATTTTATTTTATTTTATTTTTTTGGTGTAATGAAGAATGTTGATAGTTGACCTACATTATAGAAATAAGTGAAATTAATTATGTTTGTTCACTTCCAAATGTGTCGAGAAGTTGATTACGGTAACTTTAATCCCGTGAATATATATCGATGAGACACCTGATGTCATATATTCTTGACTTGATAAAGTTTTAAGGGATATTTAGTGCAGCATTTTATGAAGATTATCAAAGACAAGAAAATAAGCATTGAAGAGATGTTAAAAACTTGTGTCCTATCTATTAAGAAAATTACCAGGACACTATGAGTAATACAAATGCAAGGAGATCAACCGAAAAGTGTTCTAAGGAATAATAAAGCATAGATATTGTTACAAATTAACAATGAGGAGTGATTTTGGAAATGATGAAAATGGTTAACCATGAGAAAAACAAGCAAAAACAAAATGAAAACAAAAAATAGTGATGGCCAGAAAATGACTCAACTTTGTTCAATAATCTCAAATGATATTTTCAACATGGAGAAGGAGACAACCATGGTTACGACAAAGATGATGAATTAAGACCTTGTAAGGCTCGAACGTTGAACTTCACAAGATGGAATGACAAGTTGAAGTTTCTTCTTATAACCGTAAAGATCCTTATATCTAGGATCTAGACTTGTCGCCATTGCTGGAACCAACCCCAAATGATACCAATTAAACAAGGGAGAAAAGGAAGAAGAGAGAAGAAAATGAATTGATATTTAGAGGAGTTATTCGGAACGCTCTCTTTTGTTGTCTCTGTGATCTCTACACAAATAACACCTTGGCAAAGGAGATGTGAGAATTGTTGGAAACCAAATACAAAGCCGAGAAGGAAGGTACCAAAATGTTTCATATTTCTAAGTATTTTGATTTCAAGTTTTGGATAACTTGCCTTTGTTAGACAAGTCCATGAGTTTTAAATCATTGTCAATAAAATTATAGTCATGAAGATAGATCTTTCCGAAACTTTCCAAGTTGGCGTAGTCATTGTGAAATTGCCATCTTCATGGAAAGATTACATGAAGAAAATCCTTCACAATTCCCGAAATTATTCTCTCGAAGAAATTCAAAAACATCTTTGAATTGAGGACGAGTCAAGAGAACAAGATGGAAACCAATATTCTCATGAGGGCACTTCAAAAGCCCATGTCATGGATCAATAAAACAAATACAACAATGATTCCTCGGAGAGGAAATCCACAAATCCCAAAAAAAAAAAATAATAATAAGACCAAAAAGAAATTCAAATTTTCTTGTTATGTGTATGGCAAACTCGGATATTATGCTCGGAATTGTAGACATCGCAAACAACCAATGCAAGAAGGTAAAGTGAACCCCATCAACAGTATCATTGCTACCATAAACATTGTAAATTCGGTCAAAGGAAAGGTTCAAGGATGGTAGTATGATACTTTTGCCACCATATATGTGTGCTATGATAGATCCCTTTTCAAAATCTATCAAGAAGTGGACGATGAACACATTCAAATGGGGAATGAAGTTCAATCAAAGGTTATTAGCAAAGGAAGCACGGACTTAAAATTTGCATCTGACAAGAATATCACATTAATAAATGTATTGGATGTACCGGATATGAATAGAAATCTTGTAATTGGTGATTTGTTGGGAAAATCTGGAATAAATCGGGCAAACTTTTACTTTCCCGGAATGGTGTATTTGTTGGAAAAGGTTAGTCTAGTGATGGAATAGTTGAACTTTGCACTATTGACAATAATATCAATAAAATACAAATCTAGCTTATGTTGTTAAGTCTATTTCTTTATGGCATGATAGATTAGAATATTTTATCATTTCTACATTAAAAAGAATGATTAAAACCGGAATGATTTCATGCAAAAATATAGAATATAATAAATGTGAATTATGCGTTAACTCTAAAATGATTAAGAAATCTTTTCATAATGTCGAAAGGAAATCTTATTTTCTAGAATTAATTCATTTTGATATATGTGAACTAATTGAAATGTTAACTAGAGGAGGTAAAAGATACTTCATAACATTCATAGATGATCATTCCAGGTTTTTCTATATCTACTTGATGAAACATAAGGATGAATACTTTAACATGTTTAAGATATACAAACCCGAAGTAGAAAATTAATTAAATAGAAAGATTAAAATTCTCAGAAGTGATAGGGGAGGTGAATATTTCTCTAGTGAATTTAATATTTTCTTTTGGTGAATAATATAGCATAATATATCAATGTAGTGTACTTAGAACACCCGAACAAAATTGTTTGGCTAAGAGAAAGAATAGGACACTAGTTGAAATGATAAATGCTATTTTATTGAATGCTAAGTTGCCATCTAACTTATGTGGTGAAACTTTATTAAGTGCGTGTTACATAGTTAATAGGATTCTTTCTAAAAGATTTAAGGTTTCTCCATATGAATTGTGGAAAGGGAGAAAATCGAACATTGGTTATTTCAAAGCATGAGGGCATCTTGCTTATAGTAAGACACAGGGATCCTAAAAGGACTATGTTGAGTCCTATAGGGATCAAATGCACTTTTGTTGGAATTGCCCAAAATAGCAAAGCATATCGTTTATTAAACTTGAAAACCAATGTTATTATTGAATCCTGTGAAGTAGAGTTTTTTGAGAATATATTGGTTTCAGATAATAATTCTTTAAAGGAATCTAAAGTGGAGATTGCTAGCTCTACAAGATCACAAATAGAACATTTGTTGAGGATGTTGAAACAAGTGAACTTTGTAGAAGTAAAAGAGATCGAAAGGAGAAAGTGCTAGGACCGGATGAATTAGACTCACAGCTTATTTCTTTCTATTTAGTTGAGGGAAATAGGAAGAGTGTCACAAGAACTACTTTGTATGTTCTCCAAGTGAAAACCGATCCTAAAATTTGTCAAGAAGCAATGTCATATAGGGATAGCACCTTTTTGGAAGAATGTTGTGAATAATGAAATTGATTCAATAATATCAAACAACACTTGGAAATTAGTTGTTTTACCACCTGGATCAAAAACCTATAGGTTGCAAATGGGTATTTAGAAGGAAGTACAATTGTTCACTTTAACTTCAATCTATGACTTACATATACATCAAATGGATGTCAAAATGACTTTCTTAAATGAGGATCTCGATGAGGACGTCTATATGGAACAAGTTGTAGGATTTGTTCTACCTAGAAATGAGGATAAAGTATGCAAGCTAATAAAATCCTTATATGGATTAAAATACGCACAAAACAAATGATACGAAAAGTTTGACTTAGTAATAATGTCTTTTGGATTTAAACATAATAGTATTGATAAATACTTATATTCAAAAGTCTGTAATAATCATGTTGTACTCATTTATTTATATGTTATGACATATTGATTGTGATCAATCAAATGTAATGTATAAAAGAAACAAAGAGGTTTATATCTTCCACTTTTAAAATGAAAGATCTTGTCAAGTGGATATCATATTAGGCATGAAAGTCACCAAGACTAGTGGGGTTATATATTAAGCCAATCACATTATGTCGAGAATGTGATTAATAAGTTCAAACATTTGAACATTAAAGGGGCTAATACTCCATTTGATCCAAGTTTGAAACTTAAAAGGAATGATGTAAGAGCTATAGCAAAACTCGATTATGCAAGTACTATCATGAGTCTAATGTATGCTGTGCAATGTACAAGACCTAACATAGCAATCAGTAAACTTAGTTGGTTAACTAGCAATCCAAGTAAAGAACATTGGAAGGCTATCTGGAGGATTCTTGGTTATTTGAAGAAAACTAGGGATCTGGTCTCCAATATTCTAAGTTTTCGACAATATTAGAAGGATTACCGATGCTAGTTGGATATCTATTGTTGGTGAGAATAAATAACCTCAGGTTGGGTATTTACCATTAGAGAAGTTACTTTCTCTTGCAAATCCGAGAAACAAACATATAATGCTCACTCAACTATGGAATCCAAATCTGTGGCATTTGTTGAAACCCAAAAAAAATGAATGGCCTAGGGATTTAATTTATGAAATTCCATTGGAAGAAGAGAATAATCCTTCCATATCTATCTTGTGTGATATTCAAGCCACTTTAGTTAGAGTATACAATGAAGTGTAAAATGGTAAATCTAGACATATGAGTTTAAGACATGATTATTTGAGAAAATTAATCAAAGATGGAATAATTTCACTTGTGTAAAATTAAACGAGATTTTGCTTGATTCGTTCACTAAACTGCTCACAAGGAAATTAGTAAGAACAACAACTAGTAGGATGGGGTTAAAACACCATAATTAAATCCACCAATGACAGCAACTCTACCTAATTATACTAACAAGTATATTTTACGTTGAAAGGGTAACAACAAGTCATTCTATAAATGGATAGATTCAACATTTAATTTTTCTTTCAAAACCCTATCCTTGGTTATAATTGTTAGTTGTCACGAATACAAGGGTTGTTTATATAATTTTTAATTAAGTTCAGATCGGTAAATCAAATATCTCTGAAAGTGACAAAGATACAACAAGAAATTTACCTATATAAAAATCAAGGTGGTACCACTTCAATATAAAGCTGGAGTTTTTGTCT